TATATATATATACGTAGAAGCCATCCATAAGGGCAGCCCTAATATAAAGTGGCACCAAACTCATTATTGTTGGAGGAACAACAGATTCTTATTGGAAACAAAACTCAACTTGAAGCCAAAGTCAAAGCAGAACCTGAGCTGCTTTAAAACCCGAACCCATTAGATGTGGTCTAACTGTTGGTCCCACGTGTTTCAGGGTCCAGGAAACCGTTTAGTTTCTCTCCAACAGAAGCGTCAATAAGAGCCTCGATTCAGTTTCTGAGCTTCACAGACACTGATGGGACAGTCCTACCTGCTCCTGGTCCTGGTCCTGGTCCTGGTCCTGGTGTGGCTCAGGGTCTGGTTCTGCTGCTGGGTTCTTCCTCAGAATGTCCGGAGTGCTGTACCTGCAGAAACACCAACATTTACAGAGTTAATAAGAACGTCTGGTTCTGCAGAACGCCCGTCTGAAACCAGACGTTTTCATTAAGTCACTTCCTGCTAATCTGACAAACAGTTTAAGCTTTTATTTGTTTGCTTTGATCATTCGGTCATTTCCCCGCTTTTATTTTGAAAGACAACCTGGATTAGACTCTACCTCTGCACATCAGGAATATAATCTGTTAAATGATGAAGACTAAAAGCTGATTGTGGTTCATCAAACATCTCATGTTGACCCTCCCCAGTCTGCAGTCCTGTTTCTACCTCAGACTGAACCAGAGTCTTAATCTGAGTTTAATTCCTCTCAAAGCAGGATTAGTTTGTCCTTACCTCTGTAAGGCCACAACTGAAGCAGTTTGACTCGTTTCTCCTGATGACGGCGCTTCTAACGCTCCCCACCACTCCTCTCCTCCCTCCACCTTCCTCCTCCTCCTCCTCCTCCTCCTCTCCTCTTCCTCTCCAAAGGAAAGTTGAGTCTGACTTCCACCCAGATCTGTTCCTCCTCTGTGACCGGTCGGGAAGCTGTGAGCTCGAGTCAGACTGAGGATTGATTTTAACACAACAAGTTACTTTTTACTCTGCTGCAGTCTTGTATAAAGTACCTCAAAGTGATACTTGAGTAAAAGTACAAGGATCTTATCATAAAAATACTTTGGTAAAAGTTAAAGTCTTCTCTAAAAATATTACTTGAGTAAAAGTGTTAAAGTATCATTTTTTGTACTTAAGTATCAAAAGTAAATTTCTGACACAAAATCTACTTAAGTATTAAAAGTAAAAGTACTGAGTAAAAGTGAGCAGTTAGATTTTACAAAATGACATTTATTGGGAGGTGACTTCTCCAAAAAATATATTTTCTAACGGCGTGCCGCTTTGATGGACTGTACAAAGTAATACGGTGTCAAAATGTTATATATTTATACTTCTCATCCAAACACAATTAAATTCACTCTATAGGAGACACAGTTTATCAGGAGAGGATTTTTAAAATGATAACAACTCAGAATAAAACAGGAGTAACAACTTTCTACTTCTTACCTTTTTAAAAATGTAGTGAGTAGAAAGTACAGATAATTGTGTAAAAATGTAATGAGTAAAAGTAAAAAGTACGCTGAAAAATAATTACTCAAGTAAAGTACAGATAACCAAAATTCTACTTAAGTAAAATAGAAACAGCCTTTGTCCTGGTACAGTAACAAAGTATAATTAGAATGAATCAGTCAGATGTGACTGCTGTGAACTGATTTCAGACAAGTGAAAATCACTGATATGAAGTGAAGTCTGATAAAAAACAGACTAATTTAACATGTTTAACAATAATCAATGGACATGACTGAGCTGTCTGTTCAGCAGGTGAATAAAGCTGCAGGTCTTCATGCTCAGATCTTTTTGTGTTAACGTTCACGTTACATTTTAAATGTGAACGTTCACGTTACATTTTAAATGTGAACGTTC